AACGAGAAGCAGTACTTACAAACAAGAAAGACAAATTCCAGAAAGGAAAGGAAGACTCATAAATTAGGACAAAGGATGAAGAAGAATAGGGAACCATCAGGAATACTCTGAGAATAATGGAACAAGGTTGCATTGTTTGGGCGAATAGCACCTCCTCGAATACCAACCTTCCTCAGGGATTCTACTTTTGCAACTGGTTCATTATCAGCATAATTACTTTATGATGTATAATGTTAATGTTATGAAAAAATCAAGTCACAAATGCAAGTAGCAGCCATACAAACGGGAAAGCTACAGCTACAGCCTTTTGGAAACAAGCGGAACATAAATCAACGTAAGGGCGTGTAATGTGCAAATTCCTGGAGCCTAGAAGTAAAGGCTTCCAGATTGAAACTAAAAGCTGCCAGTAACAAACAACGAAACGGAGATGTCACAATAACACAAAAACAAGAGAAAGAACACCCACCAGCGCCACTAGCACGGTAAGATCTTCCGGCTTGATCTGGGTAATGTCACCACTCTCTCCCAATTTGATGCCTTCCAGGCTACCCTCCAAAGCTATCAGCGCATCGGACAAGTTAGACAAAATGTCACAACAACAACAACAACAACAACAACAACAACAACAACAACAACAACAACAACAACAACAACAAAAAAAAAACAACAACAACAACACCGACGCCACAAACACCAGAACAACTACCACGAAAACCACAAGAGCACCGCCACAGCTGGCTCAAAGGTACTTGTGTCTTGGTCCTACCCATATTTCAACACAGGATTCAACAGAGGAACATAGAGCCATTATATATCAGCCAAAAAGTTAAGAGTGACCTCCAATCCTAAGTGTCGTCTTCAAGCTTGGCCACCCAAAAGTATGTGACCCAATAAGCACCCACAAAAGTTGAAAGTCAGCATTCAGCAGGCAGTTCGTGCCGCTGGATAACAATTTGCAGCTTCATCAAATACGAAATCAAAGTACAGTACTAGTACAACAGAAGATTACAGGAACGAATTCACAGGGATTTATATAACTATACCTGAACACGGCAAAAAGGTTCTTCTTAGGACTGATCAGATCAACAAATGCCGGTGTTCAAAGGACGGGCTACCCCTCTTAGATGGAACACGTGAACTAACCCCAATTCTTGACCTGTGCCGCGTGAGTCTTGGAGATGCAGGAGGGAACTCATTATTTAGCCAACGGCACGCCGGAAAAAATCGGCCATTCCGAGTGGTGGCTGCAAAACACATGTACTACGTGCCATTTCGATATGTCCAGGTCTCTTGATCTGGTTCCTTCAGAGAAACCGAGCTTCGTATGCTCCTTCTCGGGATGTTGCCATGCCACCTCTCGAGCTGAAGAGCTCCGTAGGCGAAACCACATTGGAACACACCCGGATGGATGGTCCCGGTGGAGACCCAATGTGGGGTGGGCGGACGGGGGCGCCAATTCTGGTAGTTGAGTTGGTCCTTCTGCTACCTGCTATCTGAGCCCATAGATTCCATAGATTCATTGGAAAACACGGCATTGGGCGGGCGTTGGTTAGTGATATGTTCAAGGCACTTCCAGATCGAGACGTCTGGACGGGGGGCCGAAGTTTTGAAGGGATGACCACATGGGAGGTGGGCAAATGGTTGGGTTTCCCCACGCACATGATCAGAGTGCTAGTTCCAACGACAGAAATGAATCAAAACCAACATGCCACAGGACATGATCCCGCAAAAGAGGAGCTCAATCCCATGGGAATGAATGGAATCAGTTGGATTGCAGTTGAAAGGAATCATTTAGACGCCCACAAAGCCCAAAGCTTGAAAGCTTGTGGTCGACTTGGATGACGTCAACACCTCTTTAATTATGTGAAACAGGCTCAGCTGGGCCAACCTGCCGCCCCCGAAAAAGGAGACCATCCACCTCCCTGACTGCTAGGACCTGCTACTGCTAGGATAGCTATTTATATAGGTGGATGGTGGTCCCTTTGTCCGAACTCCACGGAGCTTGGTCCGGACATCCCAGAAAAGGCCTGTTGCCAGGATTCGTTGTTTTCGAAGACCTGCAGGAAGGTGGCTGCAGAGGGTGCCATTGCGGAAACCAACTTGAAGCAGCCTCCAAATCCTAGCCTGCCTGGAGCTCAAACCAAAGCACCTTCGGAATTGCTTGCCTTCTTCTTTTTGAATTTTTCTGAAAACTGTGGTAGAATGTATTTGACATTGTGCAAGGTTGTCGGAACCAATGGTGCATTGCGAACAGGCCCCTGCTCAAACCCAGCCAAAGGGTGGAGCCATGCACTAGACCAGATGCTCTAGAGACAGCGGGAGAAAACACTGCGGGAGAAAGTTGCAGCTAGTGAGTTCTCTGTTTGGATCTCTGCATCTCCGTGGGTTGACCTGGACCGCGGCCTTAGCATTAAGGGTTCCCGCATCGGTCGCTTCATCAGATGGTTCCGAGTCCTCACAGCCTGGTCCGGTCGGATTCTGGCGATTCACTCCTCTCAAGTCCAAATCAAAGGGGGCCCAACCTGAACCTGGGATTTTGGACCAGGTCGTTCATCGATAGGAGAGAATAGATCTTTTACAGCATGGGTCCAACTTCCGTTTTGCATCGGTAGATCTTCCCTTTCCATTTGTCCTGAACTTGGGAAACAAGCCATCCAGGATCCATGAGATTGGGAGAATCATCACATATAATGTCATATATGTCATACTCACGAATCATCCAAGAAACGCTATCCGGAATGTGAAAGGCAACACACGCGGGTCACCCCGATAGTCGTGTTTGAGACTCACGGGTCGCCCACTCTCGGGCCACCTCCCCTGACTCTCGTGTCGTGGTCCAGTGGCCCCTTGCTATCCTTGCTCCGACGTGTTGCACCACGAAGGTGGATGGGAAGACGAATGTCCAGAGGTCTCCAGCTCAGGTGGCAAACGTGTGACACCGCACTCATGCGCACCCCATTCACCGCAGTCGAGCCTCCCCAAAGCCTTGCAGAACCAAGTGGGGAGGGACCACGCGCAAAATGCCTGGCAGGTTCCAGCGGATGGGTGAGGCAACCGTTGTGGTCTTGCGGAGCTGGAGAGCTCCACGCGGAACTTGCTCACGCTTCCTAGCCATCTGGGTATTGTAAGTTTTATGATTCATGATGATTTGTTCGCAGCGACGTGACGTGGATCTCACTTCTTCGACATCAGCTCTTAGATGCTATGGGGCACGGCTGAAATGCACGTGTTCCCCAAACAACCTGAGAAACGACAGGTTGCCATGTTAGGTGACATGCGTCTCGCCTGAGCTTAAGATCAGAGAAACGAAGGAAAGCAGCGATTCCAATGCCTCTAAGCTTGATATGGCTGTGGGTCAACCCTGGGGACCCTGGTTGACCAAGGAAGACTGAACAGAATGGAGAACTAAGGAGGTCAACAGGACCGACGGCACCATGTTAGTGGGCTATTCTGTTCATTTTCTGTGGTCAACCAGGGTCTGACCCACGGGCCATGTTCTCATCTAGTATGCAGCACCTGTTTAGCACAGGTTTTTTTGACCGGCCTTCGGCTTTTCGAAGCGTGGGCATTCGCATCACAATCAGGTCCTCCCACATTCAAAGCTGCACACTTCAGCAATGGTTGGGAGAGGTTGTTAGTTAAAAGTCATTCAGCAAACCATGCCGATGGGAGATCCAAAGCTGCAGATTAAACAACACACGCAGGGAAAGACGTGCAGTGCGACTGAAGTGACACCTATCACTCGAAAACATCCAAAGCAAAACAACCCAAAACGACACACAATGATTCCTGGAGCCTAAACTACAAATCAGGAGCCAAGGGGCACCGTCATCGTGGATATCAGAACTGGTCGGCGAGACCTCCCGAGCAAATAGATTTGGAGACACCCCAGAAGAGCCAGTGCCATCCAACATAATCGACATCACCTGAGCAGGCACAGGGCTGCCTAGAATAATGGAGAACGCCTCCCTAGATGATCCTGCGATGCTTCCAACCGTTCACCCGGGGCTTCTCAGCACGACGGCATGCACTGGCTGTTGGAAGAAGACAGGCTGCATGTCAATGGACGGTTCGGCCGGCAACCGGAGGGATGAGCAATGACCGAGGCCTGACGCTCGAAAAGAGATGTTGGGCCTTGCATTGGCCTTGCTGATGTAGCTGTCTGCTCCCGGAAGGAGCAATGGCCTCCAACCTAATAAATAGCAATGGCCTGAAAAACACTGCGTCCAACCCAATAGCGATGAGATAAAACCTCAAAAACACATTCTTTTGCACTCGCAGAAATAGAGGCGGGGCATGGTATGTTTAATGAAATCCTTTAAACTCAAAAGAAATGGTTCTCTTTCACAAAATTGTTTCAAGACTTAGGGCAACAAAACTGACATGTTGGAATACAAACATGTGATGCAAAATCATGCTTTGCATGTTTGTTCTTATAGATCTAAAAAAGAGTGCGCTTCCCATATACATGATTCATCCAGTCACTGTGACTACAATGTATAAAGCCAGCAGGAAATACCTTGACTTTGTTTGTTGGGACATGTTGATTGGGACTGAATGTTTTGACCAGTTTTTAGGACCCCTCTTTCCCCTCGGGGGGCCCCGGCGTCCACCCCTCCCAATGGGCGTTTTTTGCCATTATGTACAATGTGTATGATTGTATGATTGTGTGTGTATGTATGTGTGTGTGTGTGTGTGTCTCTCTCTCTCTCTCTCTCTCGCTCTCTCGTTTCCCCAAACCGGCCACGGCACGCTACGGCACGTGCGTGCTCCGCCGCGGCGGCCCCGCTCTTCGGCGTCGCGGTGCCGCCCATGGAGCTTGAAACAGCTGCCAAGTCGGGTGGAAAACGGTTCCACCGAAAAGATCGTTTTGAAAAACGCCACTTCCAAGCATCGCGGAGAGTATGTCTAAACCTCCATCGGAGAGAAGTGAGAGAAGCTCTAGTTCACAACAGACCCAGTCCGCTCTCGGTCCCTGTCTTTCGGTGCTCGGTCCCTGCCTCCGGGTCGCCCGAGAGATCGTCCTCGCGAGCTCCCGGAATCAGGTGCTTGGTGCTTGGTGTAACATGGAACTGCAACTGCACGTGTTTTGGAAAGCTCCAAGACACTTTCTTGTGGAAGTGACACTGGGAATCAGGTCAGTTGGTTGAAAGGGCGCCCAGAATGTGAAGTTGACTAAAGGGAAATAAAATGACATAAACCTGTGGTCTCCGCAGTGTAGCTTGAGATGTGCTCTGCTCCAACATGTTAACATGTCACACAAGCCTATCCGGCCTTCATGCCACCTGAGGCAAGCGCACCACATGATACATTCCGGCTCACCTTCACATGAAAGATCCTGTAACGTGCCATGGCCTTCTGGAGAACTATGATTCGGAGTGCGCGCATGCTCAGATCGCAGCGTAGCGCAGCTCTTCAAGCCAAACCCACCAACCAGAAAGGCATGGTTGTCCCATGTTGTCCCACTATGGGGTCAAAAGAAGTCTATAAGTGTTAAACGAAACCGGGGTGTGCATGGATGCTTCAGCTGCTTTGGACTGGGGACTTCCCTTGACGCTTCTTTTGGACCAGCTGGTCACCACCGATACATCCGCCACCACTGCTCCCTATAGGACGAGTGAGTCATGGCCGAATTCGTCCCCCCCTCCCCCGTTTCCCCGGGTGATGCCCCGACGAGGTCGGTCACCCCCCAGGGTGGAGGTGATAGAGAAAAGCCACCCAGCGAGCTATGGCAGTGTCTCAAAATGTCAGCTTTGCCACGGTGTCACCATCCTTCTGAATTCAGATTTCGAGACATCACTTGCCATTCAAAAAAGTTGGTCCGGCTGCTACGTCCAGCCGAACTTTGAAAGATCGCACCGAATTCAGGCTGGTGTCAAGCGAGATGAACCTTCCCTCAGCTTATGGAGGGTCAGCTCATCCAAACACCATGCGGAAAGGAAGGAAAGGGAGCTCATGGGGATGTGTAGTGCATCAGCGCTAGGACTCAGTCGGTAATTACTCGGAAATGTGGACACATCAACACACAGAAGGGCTTAAAAGAATCGTTTCTGAATGCTAACGATCGACTGGACACACCAACTTCACCCAAGCAGCTCCAAGAAATGCGCCAAAGAGGTGGTAAAAAATGATGGGGCATTTGGCTGTGAGTCATGTCACCCGCCTCCCCCCAGGCCTGCCCCTGCTGCTGGTTTGGCGAGCCAGCCACTATCTAGCAGGTTCAGAAACACCATCTACACCGGCATCTTCACCAACCTGTCTGGATCCTGTCTGGCATTTGGAGGGCTTGGTAGGGAAAAACCTTTTCCCATGCAGTGGTTTTTTCAAACAATTTGACTTACTGTCCAAAGGGGAAGGTATGCGGTTGTTTGACCCACACCCATTGCCCAATCAGCGACCGCCCAACCACGCACTCCAGAGATGAAACCTGGGCCGACATGGGCACAAATGAGGACAACAGCAATGCGGCAACTGAACTGTTGGGTCAAACAAACGTGCTACTTGTTTATCTGGGCTTAGACGTCCCGCCGGGTGTGGAATCGCACGTGTAGTCGTGTAAATTTTGATTCAAAAGCGCAAGCCCTCTCAGTACTTTTGCTTGTTCGATGATGTTTTTTGGGGGTCCCGGATCCTTTCATTTTTAGAGCCGAATCTGCCGAAACCCAAGCGCCAGCGCAAAATCCGTCGCCGTTTTTGTCCCGGGCTGTCCTCAACTTTCATGCGTCCTGTCTCAAGTAGACTTGCGCAGTTTTTTTGCACAAGTTAGTACACGTGGTGTTTTCCCAAAGCCACTGCCATCCGATTTTAATCACACGACTAATCGATGACAATGTTATGAAACCAATGACGCTGCTATGAAACCGAAGATTACTTGTCGTGAAATCGATGACAATGTTCTCAGCATGACATCCACCTCCTCATTACATCACAACCCCCCCCAAGTCTCACGACTAGTCGATGACAATGCTATGAAACCGATGACAATGCTATGAAGCCGAAGATTACTTGTCGTGAAGTCGATGACAATGTTTTCAGCATGACGTCCACATCCTCATTGCATCACAACCCCCCCCGACCCCCCCCACCCTATTTTAATCGCACGACTAATCGATGACAATGTTATGAAACCGATGACAATGCTATGAACCGATGATAATGTGGTGAAACCGATGACGCTGCTATGAGACCGAAGATTACTTGTCGTGAAAACGATGACAATGTTCTCATCCCACCCCAACCCAACCCCCCCACCTTTCACGTAGCATCAACTTCAAAAATCGCAGTAGTCACACGTTCGGTTTTACACCCGTAGGCTTAGACGTGCACCAATGCAATCCAATGCGCCAACATGCTTTAAGCTATTCCACAGAGGACAATCAGCCCAAACAAAACAATATAGCCAAATATATGCTACAAGATTGCAAGGCATAGCCACGTGTTCCGGGTGAGGGGCCCAAAAAAACATCAGCATCAAATCAAAAAAACATTCCAGAGTGGTCAAAAAAACAGATCTAAAAAAACTATAAAAAAACTATTCACAGCGAAGAAAAGGAGAATGGGGAAGGGACAGTATAGTAGTAGTCGTCGTCGTCGTCGTAGTATTAGTCGTAGTCGTAGTCATCGTCGTCGTAGTAGTAGTAGTAGCAGCATCAGTCGTAGTAGTAGAAGCAGCAGTCGTAGTAGTAGAAGCAGCAGCAGTCGTAGTAGTAGTAGTAGTAGTAGAAGAAGCAGTAGTAGTAGTAGCAGTAGTAGTAGTAGTAGCAGTCGTGCTAGTACTAACTAGCAGTAGCAGTAGCAGTACTAGTACTAGTCTAGTAGTAGTAGTAGTAGTAGTAGTAGTAGGAGCAGCCGTAGCCGTAGCCGTAGCCGTAGCCGCAGCCGCAGCCGCAGCCGCAGCCGCAGCCGCAGCCGCAGCCG